CTGCGATGTGGACGGCCGGTACTACGCCATCGGAGAGTATTTCTGGGCAACAACGGACTGCACGGTGGAGTGCCAGTGCGAGGATGGCGGGGAGGCCAGGTGCTTTAACACCACCTGTCCTGAAGGAGAGGTCTGCACCATTGAGAACGGCTACCGGGGCTGCTACCCCAAGCGCGAGAGCCGGGGTTTGATAGGGCAGAACCCGGGGCTGCAGACGTTTGATGGCATCGCCTTCCCCTATCCGCTGGAACACTCTTACACGCTGCTCAAAACCTGCCCAGAAAGACCGGAATTCATCGAGGTGGACATCAGCCAGAAGAAGCCTGGAACCTCTCCTAACGGGCCTCGCGTCGTGCGGATCCAGGCAGTTGGTCAGGAGGTGAAGATCGGAGGCACTAGCCTGTCGGAGATCAAGGTAAAGGTGCTGCCGCCAGGGCGGCCACCCTAGAGCTGAGACAGGGAGTGGTGGCTTGTGCTGTGATCCAGCGTCTCTTAGGAGAAGAACCCATAGCTCTGTAGCCCTGGACTGCTCCTCAGGGTCACGACTTCAGGCCCCACGGTGCAGTTTGAGGAAGCCTGTGAAGTTGTCGTCACAGCACCGTTATTCCTGTTTGCTTGTTGAGTCAACTCTGGAGACATTCCTGACGCTGTGGTTGTCTCCTGCAGCTTGTTTTTTGCCTGAAAAAAACCATTCTCTGTGGGGCAGAAAGCAGGGAAACAGCTGTATGCCCTCACTCAAAGGGCCTTGAAGTGTGGGTGCAGGTCAGGGAGGGTTTAGCGTGCTCAGAGTGGTGCAGATGGGAATGGCTGTGCAGGGTTGTGTCACCCTCCCTCAAATGTCTCAATCTGTTACTTGCAGGTGAACGGTTATGACGTGGAGCTGCCCTATTTCCACCCTTCCGGCCGCCTGGAAATCTACCGCAGCGACAACAGCACCGTGATGGAGTCAGAGGGGCTCCTGGCTATGGACTACTACGACTCGGGCCTTCCTGGAGATCCGCCTCTCCACCGCCTATTTCAACTGCACCGGAGGCCTCTGCGGCTCCTTCAACGGCAACGCCAGCGATGAATTCTGCCCGCCCAAGGGCAAGTGCACGGACAACCTGGAGGTCTTCCTGGAGAGCTGGACTACGTTCGACGAGATCTGCAACGGGGAGTGTGGGGATCTCCTCAAGGCTTGCAACAACGACTCCGAGCTGCTCAAGTCCTACAGGAGCCGCTCCAACTGTGGCATCATCAACGACCCGACGAACAGCTCCTTCCTGGAGTGCCATAGCGTGGTCAACGTCTCAGCCTACTACAGGACGTGCCTCTTCCGTCTGTGCCAGAGTGGGGGCAACCGCTCGGAGCTGTGCGACTCAGTCGCGCGCTACGCCAGCGCCTGCAAGAATTCCGAGGTGGACGTCGGCCAGTGGAGGAGCCACAGTTTTTGCCGTGAGTCCACCAAAGCTTTTAAGTACTCGGGGTTGGGGAGAAAGGGACGAAGACCTTGCTGACTTTGGGCAGAGCTTTTTTTATCAGGTGTACAGAGGTAGAGCAGCTTTTCTTATGGGATGCCAAAAAACACAGGCTCTGTTTCCCCCACCTCCTGTCTCATCTCCAGTGGGTACCCCTTACGCACACAGTGTTTCTTTGGTGGTTGAGCTGGAACTCGTACAAAGTGTCATACGAAGGGGTAAGGGTGGAGGTGCATAAATGGTGGCAATCCGGGGCAATTTTCCTGCTCTCTTCCATACTGGTCAACCAAATATTGGCCCTGCGATAGAAGGAGCTGTGCCCAGTAGAACTTCCCACCATGAGAGGTGGCTGTCATGTACGAAGTGCTCTCCCTCATAGCTACGGAAGGGAAAGGGGAGTCGTCGTAGGAGTGCGATGTCTCACGAGCCCGAAAGCAAGGCAGTGCCACTCCATGTACCAGCAGCAGCTTCTAAGTGGCACTTGTTCCCGCAGAGACAGATTTCCCAATGAACTGATTTCATGGTGGCATTTCAGGAGGCATCAAAACTTTTCTGATACAGTATAGGAGCATTCTGGAACTGCAGATGGTGTCTGACAGTGCTGTACACCACCACCAGAGGAAAACTAGAGGAATGCTTGCTTTTAGCTATAAGCTTGTCATTGATGGGAAAACATTCATAATTCAGAAGCGAATGTGAAAAATCCCCAGCATGGAAGTACATGGTGGGGAGGCAGCCCCTGTCTCCTCTGCAGAGGTTTGAGCTACCAGAGCTGGGAACTCACATTCTATATTTGTTGGCCCTGCAGCTCTCGCCTGCCCGGAGAACAGCCACTTCGAGGAGTGCATGAGCTGTGTGGAGACCTGTGAGACCCTGGCCACGGGTCCCATCTGTGCGGACACCTGCGCAGAGGGCTGCCAGTGCGATGAGGGCTTCGCCCTCCGAGGCACCCGCTGCGTTCCCCGGGGCGAGTGCGGCTGCAATTTTGAGGGGCGCCAGCTGGCCACCACCCAGACGTTTTGGATGGACATTGCCTGCCACTTCCTCTGCTACTGCAACGGCTCCGACAACAGCGTGTACTGCGAGAACGTCTCCTGTAAGGACGATGAGTACTGCCTGGAGGAGAACGGCCTCTACTACTGCCACGTCCGCACGGATGCTTCCTGCATCATCTCCGGCTACGGACACTACCTGACTTTTGACGGCTACTCTTTCGACTTCCAGAGCAGCTGCGCCTTGGTCCTGTGCACCACGATCGCCTGGCCGAGGGCAGAACGCTCTGACACTTTCCCAGCATTCACCGTCACAGCCAGGAACGAGGATCGGGACACATCTCTGGCCCTGTGGGTGAAACAGGTTGAAGTGGAAGTCTTCAATTACAACATCGTCATCCACCGTGCCTACAAATACACTGTGCTGGTGAGTGTGGGGCTGTGAGGACCATGGCTCTTTTTCCCTGCTATGGCTCCCAAACTGCGGAGCAATTCCCTAGGCATGAGGCCTTATGGCTCACAAGGTTTTCTGGGGGCTGGGAAGTGCTTACGCTCAGGCTTGTCTCTAGGGTGCTGCCAGGTGCAGCGTTCAAAGGGAGCTTTCAGAGGGAGCTTCCATTTGGACTGCCTGGTTTGGATGTGAGGCAAGACTGGCAGGGACCTTGTTTGGAGCGCTAAGCCGCCCTCTTTTGTGTCCTCCTGCAGCAGCTCTGATCATCATTCCCACTCAGGGTGCATCTTGTTTCCTTCCCTGCAGATCAACGACGAGCGTCTCTACCTGCCCCTGAAGTTGGGCCAGGGCAAAGTGAACATCTTTGCCTTTGGCTTTCACATCGTGGTCGAGACTGACTTTGGGCTGAAGGTGGTGTACGACTGGAAGACCTTCCTCTCTGTCACTGTCCCACGCAGCTTCCAGAACCTGACCTACGGCCTCTGTGGC